TTTTTCTCATGCTTTCTGGCTGTTTGATCGTTTATTATATTTTCCTATCTGGCCGAATTGATTGTTTATGTAGGTATTGCCTTTTTGGGCGAAACTTGAAGAAGTTGAGGGGGAAAAAGTGTCACTGGTGCCAGAAAAGCGATTCTTGGAATCTCATTAAATGTTCAAGCTGTCAAAAAGAATTTTTTTGCATGGATTGCATCAAAGAACGGTTTGTTGGCTTCATTCACCTCCTTTTTGTACATAAACTTCAACCTGCGAGTCGTTTACTGTGAATACTAAATTATGTTTGTTGTGTATGTTGGATTTCCTGTTACAATTTCGTCCTCCTCTGCTTATTTGCTCAAGCTACAAATTCCCATTTGAGACACAGCTTGTTTTCTTGAGAGGATCCAAACTGCGAGGTGTTATTTGAGTATTGGCTAATGCTGGAACTAGAATTTATGAAGCTCTAATTTGATTAGTTCTGGCAGGAGATTGCTTGTAATATAAATCTAGAACCTTTTTGTTTTAAAATACTCCTGTTTATGGAATTATCAAACCACGGGAAATCATCTAACATTATTTAGACCTGTAGATCTCTATACTCTTTCTTGTTTTTCTGCTGTTAGGTAACTTTCATGGCTGTGAACAATGCTAACCAATAATGATAAGTGCCAGGAGTTTTACCCATCCTGTTTCTACTGTTTTCACCTTTTCTTATCTAGGATTAATACATGAGATGCTTCCCTACTCAACATGTGTAGGTACTTTGAAACTCAAAATGAAGTTAAGATGGCATGTCCAGTTTGTCGAGGAACATGTTCCTGTAAAGACTGCTTGGCAAGTCAATATAAAGACAATGAAAGTAAGGTCTGACATCAAAGTTGAATGACTTGTGGCTCAATTAGTGTTTCTTTTGCATCATACTCTAACAAATGAGTTTATGTCCTATTGCAGGAATATTTGGCGTGTAAAAGCAGAGTGGACAGAATTTTGTGTTTCCACTATATGATCTGCATGCTTCTTCCTGTATTAAAACAAATCAGTGAAGACCATAATATTGAACTAGAAGCAGAAGTGAAAAGTAAAGGTACTAATCATCTTTCTCCCTGCGTTGATTATTGTTAACTCAACCTTTCTTGATTGTGTATGATGGTTATCTGTGATCCTCTTGTACGACAGAGAAAAGAACCTCTGATATTCAAATCAAGCAGTTTGAGTCTTGCTGTAATGACCAAAACTGCTGGTAATCTCTCTTCCACTGATACTATTAAGAAAATTCAAATGATTTTTTAGTGCTTATGGATGGCATTGGCATTCGGTTCAGCATACCCAATGAACTAGCTCATCATTTTCCAGGATACCGAATAAACTGAAAGATGGCATTGCCAGTGAAAACCACGTTTTGGATGAGGTCATTTCCAATGGCAATTTGACTGCTACTTCATCACCAGATGGCACAATTTGTAATGGTTCTGGCAATATATCTTGTTCCCCCAAAGAGCTTGGTGGCTGTGGTGATAGCCTCCTTGATTTGAGATGTCTTTTTCCTGTAAGTTTGATCAAAGAAATGAAAACAAAAGCTGAAGAAATATCTTGCTGCTATGACTTTCCTGAATCATTGGATAAAAGTTCAAGCTGCTCGCTTTGTCTCAATTCTGATAATAAGATTGATAGAGACAAACAATGGCAAGAAGCAGCTCTAAGAGAAGATTCCGATGATAATTGCTTGTTTTATCCCACAGTTTTGGACATCAGTCGTGATAATTTTGAACACTTTCAGAAGCACTGGAGAAAAGGCCATCCAGTGGTAGTGCGTGATGTTCTCCAAAGTAAATCAAATCATAGCTGGGATCCACTGGCCATGTTCTGTGCTTATCTTGAGCAGAGTATCACAAGATATCAGAATGATAAGGACTTACTTGAAGCTTGTTTGGATTGGTGTGAGGTCAGTTGATCAAATAATTGCATACGGAATAACACTTCTAAATTGATGACTTCTTAGTTTGCTAAAATAGATTAGGCTTTCTTCAAATTTTATATTATTCAAAATTTCAAGTTAGGTTGTTTTTATAATCATAGACAATACTGCTCATAGTTATTATTTGAGATAAGCACTATCAAGCATACATGTAGACGTTCAATATCATATTTCAACTCCTCCTTTTTAGATGGGATGGACATACCACTGAACCAAATGTCATTGCTAAAGTATGTTATTTGTGCCTGCGGCAGGTAGAAATTAACATTAGGCAGTATTTTTCTGGGTCTCTAAGATGTCAACCACAGAAAAATAATTGGCATTATATGCTGAAATTGAAGGGCTGGCTTTCTTCCCAACTATTCAAAGAACAATTTCCGACTCATTATTATCAAGTAATTGCTGCTCTACCACTTCAAGAATACATGAATCCCATGTCTGGTATTCTGAATTTAGCAGCAAATTTGCCACAAGGGAGTGTAAAACATGACATAGGGCCATTTGTCTATATGTCATATGGCTGTGCTGATGAACAAGTTGATTCTGTGACAAAACTCTGTTACGACTCATATGATGTGGTATGTTTCCTTCCTTGTTGTTCTGCACTTGATTTTTTACGCGCATCTTCTTTCATGCACTGAGTGGGTTTTTTAAATAAACTAAACTGCTGATATTCGTTATTGTTTTAATGAAATATAAATGCCTTTTGTATCCTTCATGCTCAATTTTGGTCATTCTCATCTGAAGTAATACAAATATGCAGAACATAAAAGGAAGTTTGCGGAGATAATAAGTTATAATGTGTATGATTTGTAATTACAGGTTAATATCATGGCGCATTCAACAGATGTCCCTCTCTCTACAGAACAACTTGATAAAATAAGAAAGTTATTGAGAAAGCACCGAAATCTGTGTCAAAGGGAGTCTCCCAAAATTATTACTGGGAAGATAATGGGACAAAGTTTGAAAGAAAATTCATTATTGCATGCTGAAGATAAGGAACAAAATGGAGTGCAGAGTATGGTTAGAGGGCAAATGAATTTCTTCCGGAGGGTCAATAGAACAACATTAATCTCTACAGAGGCAGGAACAGCTAGTCCGAGTACGGACAGCAATATTTCCCAGGGTGGAGAATGTGATTCAGATACAGATTCTGATTCTGATTTTGAATCCAATGTACTTCACGGGACAACCCAGAACACTCCATTGTCTACGCTTGATAATCCCAGATATTCCTGTGATAGCGCAAGTAATGGTAGAAATAAAAACCTAAGTGATTATTCTGGTGCCCAGTGGGATGTATTTCGCAGACAAGACGTTCCAAAACTAATAGAATACCTTGAAAGACATTGTATTGAATTTGCTGATACCCAGAACCATAAAAATAAGGTAATTCTTATACAGTACAATTATTAGTTGGACTTCGTAGGAGCTGATGATGATTTGGTCTCTTCATTGTAGATGATTCACCCACTTCTAGATCAGATCTTCTTTCTTGACAGTACTCACAAAATGAGGCTTAAAGAGGAGTTTGGTATGTATACTTCTGTGTTTGATAGTCTGTTCCAATCCAAAAGAACTATATTGACATGTCTATGCTGTTATATCAGAAATTGAACCGTGGACTTTTGAGCAACATGTTGGAGAAGCTGTCATCATTCCTGCTGGATGCCCATACCAGATAAGGAATCCAAAGGTCTCCTGCATTGATATGATTTTTTTATGCTGTATAGCTCCTCTGTGTGCGTACACACGCATATTGGGGAATATTTAGTGATGGACTTATTTACTGCAAATGAGATGAGCGAATCCTGGCGTTTATATCCCGCGTGAATGGTCTCAAGATTAAAACATGAAGTCAATTTGATATCTCTTTCGTAAGTGGTTGTGTCAGCTGTGCTTTAATCCTGACCAATCATCTAAAGATCCAATTGTCTGGATTAAACTTTACTCATTCACAGTAATCAAGTGCCTTGCTCATAATTTGTATAAGTAGCCGTGGAACTTACAATTGCTTTTATTCTTGAAATCCATTGTAATTGAACATGCTTTTACATTTTGAAAGAAACAAAAATTTTGATTTCTTAGATTTTAGCAAACAACTTCCAAGAATTTGTGAAAAGCCTTGCAGCTACCTTTGTGGAAAATGCATTAAAGATTACACGGTATAAACAGTCAGACTTTACCCAAGAAGAAGGCTGATAAAGGTTCTGCCTTTGTCGAACATTTGATTTTTGTAGACATTTTGTATTGTATATCCTAACTTGTGCCTTCTTGTTTTTTCCCCGACATGTCCTAACTTGTGTCAGATGTATGACAATTATTTATTTCTTGACTTGCAGTGTTGTGTTCATGTGACGCTTGAATTTGTGTCCCCTGAAAATGTTCCTGAGTGTATGGAGTTGATTGATGAAGTCCGTCTACCTCCTGAAGGACATAAAGCAAAAGTGGATAAGCTGGAGGTAAGTTTCATAGTCATACTTGCTTTCTTCAGATAGTTGTTCTCTTTGGACTGACTAGAGTCTCTTTGTCTCTCTGGTCAATGGTGAAAACAGATGGAGAAAATGGCCCTTTATAGCATGAGAACAGCAATAAAAGAAATAGGAGATCTTACATGTAAAAAGTGATTGTGCCAGCTGAAATATCAGTATATGCCTCTCTGTGAGTCTTAGCCTTCCTAGATGCCTTCATTTTTTTGTACATTTTAGATCTGTCAGTTAAATTGATTGATTTTAGTTTCTATTCATTTTTATTCACCAATATGTGTCTCTGAAATTGAAATAAAATTGTATGGTCTGTATAAACTTCTCAATCCTTTTTCCTGAAGGAAATTGATAAATTTTTAAAGGGAGAGTGAGAGGGATGTATTATGGTTTTAAGGACCATAAAGTTGACGTTTTGGCCACACTTTGAGCTGCAGTTATGTGGACTTTATCCAACTAAACTGAAAAAAGGTGCTATGCATCAAGCATGACATGAGACACCCGTTCTTGTTTGTTGATAGTTTTACGTTCTTTGTAACAGTTGAATCCAGATTCAATTTATGTTTATGCTTTTAAGTTTCATTTTAGGAAAAATAACACACAAGTCCCAAGCAATACAATTTATTAATCTAAGTTCCCTTAACATCTCAAAATGAATAGGAGGTCCTATGGAACCTAAGAGTAATACATTCTAAATAAGAAATTACGTAGTTATCCCTGTTCTCAATTGATAAGCTCATGGGTTTGGATTAACAAGTCAATGAGAAGCTATTGACAAGTTAGGAAGTGTTAGTTGATAATTAAATTTATGGGATAAATATAATTTCCATATAAAATCAAATTATAACAAAAGAGTATCTTTGAGTTGAAATCATGTGTCACCAAAACATGTACATTAACATTAGATGAAATGGTGGCTCTATATCATAATCTTGTTGCAAATATCCATTTACAAGCTCTTGGGTATATATTAATAAGTCAATGGGAACCTATTAACAAGTCAGGAAGTGTTGATTGACAAGTAAATTTATGGGATAATATAACATCCACAGAAGATAGGAAAATTCTTATACTCTTGTTATAATTTGATCTTATGTGGAAGTTATATTATCCCATAAATTTAGTTGTCAACTAACACTCCTTGTCAATGCTTCCTATTGACTTGTTAATCCATACACATACACTTGTTAATAGTTGTCTGCAATAAAATTATAATATAAACCCATTATTTCATCTAATATTAGTGTGTATGCTTTGGTTATACATGATTTCAACTTAAAAATTGTTATATGATACTCTTTTGTAATAATTTGATCTTATTTGGAAGCTATGTCAATAGCTTCCCATTAACTTGTTAATCCACTCTTGTAAAATTCCCAATGTTAGACTCAACAATTTATTTCAATATGATGCCATTGAAACTATGCTATATGAATATCACATGTCAATTAAACTTCTTGAATGACAAAGCATTATACGCTGCCAACTTCTGCAGTGGCAAATACACACACACAGCATAAAATGAAGGAAAAATTATACACAAGTCTTAAACAACACAATTTACTAATATAAGCTCCAAGCTCCTAACCTCATTTACAGCATATAAAACTGAACAAATTTGATGCATAGATAGGATCTGATCACAAATTATAGTTTTATGTCATGAGTAGTGTGTATACTTTTTAGTTGTATAGCAGCACTGTGCAGCAGCAAATATGTTCATATTTTTTGATGGTTTAAATTTTTATTTCTTTCTAATTTTACTTTTATTATGAATCATTATTTTTTTTAACAATTGACAATTTAGAGATCATTTTAATTTTGTATCATACATGTTTTAAAATTTATTATATAGTGAATGTGGACTGTTCAAATAAAATATAATATGGATGGTTCATATTTCAGCAACAAAAACCCCAAGCCCCTATCATCCCTGGTATTGTTTGCCAACTCTAAGACTGGAAGAAGAAAATAAAACCTTAAAAACTTAGTATTTGAGACTGTAAAGAAAAAAATATCATTTTTTGTTGCTTAAATAAATACTCTTTGATTCTTAAATGTATCAACTAGATAACTAATTTGTTGTAATTAAAAAAATAGTAAAATTAGTTATTTGTAAATGATGATAGTTTTTTCAAAGTAATTTCTTTAATTCTTTGTATTGAACTAACCACTTAATATGCTCTATCAATAGAAATAATTTAGAAAAAAATTATAAATTTGAGATATGATTGAAGTTGAGGTAAAATTAATTCTTAAATTTCTTCTTCTTTTTTTTTTTGCAACTAATGGTTACTGCAAACTAAGAAGCTATAGGTGTATATCTACAAGGACAACAATTATGGATAAACAATTAAAGCATCTCAGAGTTCATAAATTTACATAAATTTTAATCCCATGCTTGGCAAAAAAAGAATAATTTTCCAAATGTTCTTTTCGTGATGCAACATTGTTGAAGTTGTCTAGAAAAAGAAAAAAAAAATTACTTCTTTTATTCTCAATTTTAAATTAGACTATTGTAATTTATTTTGTTTGAATTGGATCAAAAATTCGATAATTTTAATTTGTAGACTTAATGAATTTTATTTATAGAAATGATGTTAGAAACTTAAAAATAGTGTTAAATAAAATGAAAGAAATTTTATAAAGGGAAGATGACAAAAAAAAAAACTTTCATGAAATTCCCTAAATTAAAAAACGAACAGGTTTTTACACTCAAGGATGGATGTGTACTAAAAAAATATCAATTCAATCAAAATAAACTACAAGAATCTGATCCAAAATCGATGTAAATAACGATGACTCACGAATAATTTTTTTTCTAAAAATAAAAATACCTGGCATCAACTCTATCCTTGTCTCCAACAAAACTTGTAACTTCCATTTGAAAGTTAAAGAAGCAAGTACTCTATAAATTGTACTACATGTATTATAAAAAGATAAATATATAGCACTATCATTGAGCATTATATGGCACTATCATTGAGCATTTAACTTCATTAACATTGAATTCCTTCTACTCAATCTAATTGTATTGGTGGTAGCTTTAATTAATATTACCTCTGGTCCTAAATATAAGAACTAGTTTGTAATGCAATTTGCATTACAAACTAACTCTTACATGTAGAACCCACGGTAGTATTGGCATTAGCATGTTGAAGCCAAAAGAAGATTGTTCAACTCCTGTTAAATTCTATTGCAGAAAGGACTAAAATGTGAATCTAGTCGTCATGAAATGAAGTGTGTTTTTTGTGGCAGGGTGAGTGCGTGTTTTTTCTTAATGCGACCTTAATTTCCCAAAAAAAAAAAACGGCATAAAAGCAAACTAATAAAATAGCTGAAAAGTAACAAGATAAACTTGTCTACCACGCAAGTACTAAGTTGAATAGATGAAATTACACGTGGCCAAAATAAGAATTGGCATTTGGCAAAATGATATGCTGAAAGAGCAGCAAGTTATCAAAATTCAAAAAGTGAAAATAACGAGTTGTAACTGCTTCACAGGGCTTAGGGAAATTAAACAATCTGATAAGCTACGTGATATAAATAAAAGAAATAAACAAGTTGACATATCCTATATAAATATGAATCATCTAACTACAAAAATTGGGTCAAAATGGAAATATAATAATCATGATCATTTACCATAAGATTTGTAGGGCATATTTCATTTCCAAAAACTTGTTACAATAAATATACTTCTACTTCTACACGTGGCAGACACGCGTAGTTACATCATGCAACTGAATAGTTCCATGGAATAACTGAACGCAAGATAAACACAGGTGATAGTAATATTTAAGGAGCAAGACCAAAAGACAAAAATCTGGGAGCCCAAGACTGAATGAATTCTTGCATCTGGTGACTACATAGGGTTATATGGCCAAAATTGTTGCCAAGGAGACTCAATAAATAAAAAGAGCAATATCATTCTCAAGGAGCCATTAGACCATCAATTGTATAAGAAAGGGATTTTGCCCAGTCCGCTCTGAGTACCAATGTTTGAAGCGTCTCCATCACATCGTACCCAGGATCAAGCTTTCGCTGCCAACCCTGCAGATTCATTTATAACCGCATCAGCTCAGATACATTAGGGGGGAAAAATATAGAGATCTCAATCCAATCAAAGATATTAATATACCTAGAAAGAATACAACTTTTGGTCTTTGAATGATTCAGTCTTCAAACTGAGCTAAGACAACTTAGTTTCTATACTTTCTTGACTCTTAAGAAAGTCAATATAGATTTTTCATTCGCAACAACTCAATGCTAATTCAATAAGCTATAAGGATCAACTTGTTCTAGGTCAAAGTTTGGGATAGAAGTTTGAGGACTGAATCTATCATAGGTGTAGGAAGCCATACCAATGCGACTGATCTTTTACTCCATGCAAATACACAAACTCAAGTTTTCAAGTATGAACACTATCAACTAACTTACAGATAGTTGTGTGCGGAAAAGCCAATGTGAATACCCAGGAAAGAAAAAAGAAAAACAAAAAGGGATATTCCACATGTTTACATACTCATTTACATGCACTAGATGAGACCTGAAAATTTTCATCGATTTACCTCAAGAACCAAGATTGTCACAATCACAGTACTGACATTGCCATCGATATTAACTCTGTGACGCCTAACTTTCTCAAGTAATTGCTCCACGCATTCAGCGGGATGGACCAAGTCTCCTTCTGGAGTGCCCCAAAAAGCAAACGCCTCATCCACTTCCTGTTAGGAAACAGCCTCAAGATGACCCGAGTCCCCAGAATCACAATGAAGAGACCCAAATACACATAGGGCAAGCACACACAGACATAGGCACAATGCATATGTATATATCTATGTACGTATACACACGCACAAAACAAAACATTTTCACCAAAAGATAAAAGATAAAAAGAAAAAATACCAAATGAAAGAAAATATCGTATCTCAAAGATGAAAATAAGAATTAATCGCTGTTAATTCATGAGTCTATAATTGAGATTCATACAGAAATCATTAAAAATGCATAACAAAGTGATGGATACTTTAGTAGGAAAAGAAACCCTCTTTCAAAAGGTAGTCATACAGTATTCCATGCAACTCAATGTGGAATTTAGATTTTCCATACTATTTTAGTCCTCCCAAGCCCCAAGCTGTTGACCACCAGCTCTTAATCCAATTGACAAATGCCTAAGTGAGAAGGAAAAACATCCCCAAAATACTAGCTGTAGGGGTGGGAAAATCAAAACACTCAAACTTCTACAGCAACCCCCTCCCCCAAAAAAAAAAAAAAAACACACACACACACACACACAGATTCATATCAGTAAAATCCACAATTAATGACACGGTAGCTTTACAAAACTCAGTTTTACAGCCACTTGAACCCATTCTGAAAGAAATTACAACAAAAATATTAACAGAGAAATCTTTTTGAATAACTGAAAGCTTCTATTAATTACAACAGCAATGAATCCAACTATGTG